GCTGCCACTCCACAAAACTATCCACACGTGAGTAGAAGAGCCAAATTTATATAGGAGTCAAATCTTTCTGACCTCACAATGATGCATGCTGCCACTCCACAAAACTATCCACACGTGAGTAGAAGAGCCAAATTTATATAGGAGTCAAATCTTTCTGACCTCACAATGATGCATGCTGCCACTCCACAAAACTATCCACACGTGAGTAGAAGAGCCAAATTTATATAGGAGTCAAATCTTTCTGACCTCACAATGGTGCATGCTGCCACTCCACTAAAGGTAATACATGATGACTAGATATATTCTATTCAAACATGTTCTATCGATACATAACTTCTGTCCATAAATGTAAAACAGTAACCTGATTTCATATGGGAAACATGCCTTCTAAATACATTGGTAAAACTGTAAAAGTACTGCAAAGTAATTAGTAAATCACTGAATTTTAAAAAATTTAACATCTTAAAAACCCTAGAATTGAAATACAAAGAAGAGATTAATACTAAATCTTTTTGCAACAAACTCGAAGGTAAACATAATTAGAAACCCACCAGGTCCAGCTCCATCATAGGTAAATCCCTTGATGAAGAGAGTCTCCTCGTCTACAGCGTAGACGTCTCCTGTCACGTCATGGAAATGTGTTTGAAACTTCCCAAGTTTTGTACCATAATAAGGAGTGCTAGAAGTCAAGCCTGAAAAAAGGGAAAAAAGAAATATTACGTCATATAAGGTGAGGAAACATATCTTGAGTTTCCTCATTTATTATTGAAATTCATATGAAAGAAATAATTTCTTTCGAGTGTTGAAAAGTTTTCATTCGAAAAAAACAACTGATATGTTCCAATCCTTTCCCTTCACCTAACAGTGTGTTTAACTTGATAGCACTGTGGTATAATATTCTTAGGAGAGCTGACTGGTAGTTAAGAACAACTGCTGAACTTTATACTACTTGTTTTAGAAAGCTCATGTAGTGCAATATATATATTTGTATATTTGGACTCTGGGTAGTAGACAAGCAACATGTGAAGAAAAAGACACTTGTACCATTGTTGATACAATATCTTTTCATTCTGATTCAATGACATATAATTCAAAACCCAGCAAAACCAAAACACTTCTTTTGTGGAAATGGGCTAAATTCAGCAAAAATATAGACTTACGGAAATAAGTTAGGTTCTCAGACATACAACATAAACATGTAGTTGAAAAGAAACAAGAAGATATCGATAAAGTCGCATGCGTTTGTTTGATCACTGTATTGTCAAGGTTTAAATTATGTTTACAGAAAGCTACCAGTCTTACCTGTTATTTGTCAGCTCTATATGTACATAGCATACAAACTGCAATTTTCTGACCGCAATTGTTTTAGCTTAGTTTTGTAGCACAGAAAAAAATATAACAAAAAAACAAAACAAAAAATATATACCGATATTGACCTACTTTCAAGTGAAATACTCGCTACCTAACGAAATCGGGTTTTCAGGTTACACAATACGAAAACATGATCTCGTTCTTAGATAGGTTAAGGAGGAAACACATAATCAAATCTTTTTTGTTCTATCTACACCCTTTACATTTTTGTAAGTGCTTTGCTGAAAATGCATTAAGCGTGATATGTATATAGTACGTAAATGGACTGTTATCTGTTATTACGTGCTAGTTTGTACGTTTCTTTAATGGTGATTTTACTGCAAGAGTAAACGAATAAATTCTGAGTAGTAACATATGGTAGCCACACATTTATAATGTGCGTATATACCACAGTGCTATCAAGTTAAACACACTGTCAGGTGAAGGGAAAGGATTGGAACATATCAGTTGTTTGGTAGCCACACATTTATAATGTGCGTATATACCACAGTGCTATCAAGTTAAACACACTGTTAGGTGAAGGGAAAAGATTGGAACATATCAGTTGTTTGGTAGCCACACATTTATAATGTGCGTATATACCACAGTGCTATCAAGTTAAACACACTGTTAGGTGAAGGGAAAGGATTGGAACATATCAGTTGTTTGGTAGCCACACATTTATAATGTGCGTATATACCACAGTGCTATCAAGTTAAACACACTGTTAGTCAGGTGAAGGGAAAGGATTGGAACATATCAGTTGTTTGGTAGCCACACATTTATAATGTGCGTATGTGTTTTGGAGAGCTCTATGTTGCATATTAACAATGTCAGAACGACCTACATAA